CCACGTTTTGGGGGGTATCTTTGAGACTTGGCACTCCTGGTTTGCTCTGGATCAGCTGTTCCAGCTCCTGCTTCCCTGGGGCTTGGGTGGCCCTGGCACTGGGGGATGTCCCCTAGTTGTGGGGGTCCCCCTTTGGGGTGACTGAGCTCTCCTCCTTTGCCTTGCAGGGCTGTCCTGGGAGACGTGGGCTGGTGGGACCCAAAGGAGACAAAGTGAGTATCCAGGGAAAGGTGGGAAGGTACAGGAGGGGCTGTAGGGCCCAGGGCAAATGTCACGGGTGGTTTGGGTTGGTTTGTGTGCTTTTCATCAAGAGGGCAGCGTGAGCTCCTGCAGCTGCAGTCTGGTGGCCCTTGATGTGAGTTTGGAAGAGGAAAGAACTATTTTGCCTGGGTGTTTTAAGGCCAGGCTCAGGACTGTCCCTTCTTTGAGCCACTTGATGACACAGCAGAGGTGGCAGATGCAGCAGCTTTAGCTCAGGTCACCTGGAGGGGGGATGCTGGCGTGTCCCAAAGTCCAACCCTGTGCAGTAGCCACCAACTCATGCTGGAGGAACATCTGTCAGACCCACAGTTGCCCTCTCTGCTTGGGGAACCTGGCACTGGGCAGCCTGCACAGCCCAGCTGGGCCTGCCAGATGCCTGGAGCTGCTCTGGGGTGAGGGTGGTGCCTCAGTTTCCCCACCAGCACAACAGCAGGAGTGCTCCTGAGCACATTTTGCACAGCAGTTTCCATCTTTCCCAAGCCAGGAAGGAGCAAACCAGTTGTCCCACGAGCCCTGCCACTTGTGTGTGTCTCAGCACCCACACCTGTGTGTGCAGATGGGTCTGGGCACGTGTGTGTGGAGCTCATGGCTTTGGTTTCCCCTGTTGTCAGGGTTCCTTGGATCTGCAGAGCTGGTGTGAACCCAGGAATGTGCCCTGACCCCAGCTCTGCTCGGGGGCTGCCCTGGCTCAGCCTGTGTCCAACCTGTGTTGGCTGGTAAACCCTGGCTGGTTTTAAGGAGCTGCCCTTGTCCTCCTAGGGGTACCCTGGAGCCGTGGGCAGGACAGGCCCCCCGGGTGACCCAGGCCCTGTGGGCATCCCTGGTGTCCCCACCGTTGTCCTGTGGAGGAACTCCAGGGAGGACTGGCAGACGTTCACGGTGAGTTCAGTGGGCGAGTGCTTGGGGGGCTCCAGTGCCACCTCCCAGGCAGCTCCTGGGATCAGAGCTGGAGGGAAGGGTTTGGGGTGCTCTGTGGTTCCTCATTTTCCAGGTGGGGAGGCAGAGGTGGGTTAGGAAGGTGGGGGTAGCTCCCCTAGAGCCCTGCTGGCAGCCAGGCTGTCACAGCTGCCCCTCTGGGCATGGCTGGCTGATGTCCCTGTGGAACACACACCTCCCAGGGGTGGTCTCCTGTAGGACAAGGGACAAAGGACACCCAAGCAGTGTAGGGGCAGCCCCTCTCCTGCTCTGCACTGCTGGGTACAAAGCATTTAGGGACACAGTTCAGTGGTGGCCTTGGCAGGGCTGGGTTAATGGACTTGATGATATGAAAGGTCTTCTCCAGCCAAAGCTATTCTGATTCCTATATGATTCCTCCTGTTTTTCCACCAGATCCCAGTTCTCTGCCATGCCCCAGCTGTGTGCCATGGTTGCCTCCCAGGGTTTGTGCCCTTTGAGCTTCTTGCCAAGATATTTCTCTCCCCTGAACCCTGTTGCTGTGGGGAGAGCAGGAGCAGGGAGGGGATTCCTGCACAGCTCCATGGGACCCATCCAGCCTCCTCCAGGCTCCCTGGCTCCTGCCAGAGTGATGGCCTGAGGAGGCTCAGTGCTCTCTAACAACTTGGATGACCCCAGGCAGGAGGTTAGACTTCAACTCACTCACTTGTGAAGAGGGGTGATGGCACCCTCTGCCCTCAGGCTGGTGTCTCCAGTGCTGGTGAGTGAGGAGGACACTGCTCTGCCAGCACAACATCCCCCAGGGATGATGCTGGCTGGAGGTACCAGGTGGAGAGTGTCCCTGTGCTGGTCTGGTTCTGAGCTTGGGTTGGCCAACCAGAGTCCTTGGGTCAGACTTGTTTCACTTTTGTGTTGGATTGGATTGAAGCAGCTGCAGAAGGGAGTATTGGATTCCTCCTGAGAAGTGCAGCAGCACTGGGCACTGGGACGGGTCTTGTTTGACTTGCAGAACCCCTGTGTCCTCCTGTCCTGCTGCTCTAGAGCAGGTGCTGCTCACAAGACCCATCTCAGGCATTCAGGGTGGGACCAGAGGGGATGGGGAAAGGAGAGAGAGCTGGAGGACTTGGTTGGAAGAAGCCTGCAGTGCCAGAGAGTGTCTCCATGTCTGTGCCAGGGCATTGCCTTCCTCCCAGGGTGCTGGGGGGGCATCTGCAGGGTCAGTTCCTGTGTCAGGACACGGGTGCAGCACCTGGCAGGGCTGCTGGAGCTCTGGGCTCTGCACACTCAGTCAGAATGGATTGGGGGGGGGGGGAGTTTCCCAGTCTTCATCTAGGAAGAGACCCCAGGTTTTGCTCTGCAGGCAGCAACATGCCTGCCTGGGGATGTTCCATGGGATGGGAGAGGTTTGGGTTAGATGTTGGGAAGAGCTTCTTCACTGAAGGGGTTGCCAGGCACTGGAACAGCTGCCCAGGCAGGGCTGGAGTCACCCCTGGAGGGGTTTCAAAGCCAGGTAGATGTGGTGCTGAGGGACATGGGTTAGTTAAGGGCTTGTCAGTGCTAGGTTGATGGTTGGACTCGATGACCTTGAAGGTCTTTTCCAACCAAGGTGATTCTGTGACAGACCAGGATTTCCTTGCCCCACCACCACCACCTCTGGTGCTTCCAGGCTGGGGATGCTGGTGGGAGCTGCTCTGCCTTGGGGAAGCTGCAGAACTGCTGGGGCTTTGCTGCTGCCTCCCAGGGCTGCTCCTGCTGGCTCCCAGCCCCAGGCTTTGGCAAGGGGCCCATCAGGAGGGGAAGGCAGTGTCTGGCAGGGGGGGACGTGGGGCACCCCAGGGCCTCTCTGGGCCATTGTGTCTGTGGCCTGATGACCCCAGTGCTGGGTTTTGCTCAGCAAGCAGGAAACAGGGAGTGCAGAGCCCTGGGCTGGGCTGATCTCTGTTGAGATAAGCAGAGGGGTGAAAAGCTGAGTGCTGGCAGGATGGGGGGGCTGGCTGCTCCTGCAGGCCCCCCCAACCTGCTGGAGAAACGGGGTGGCTTGTCCGGGTGCTGCTCTTGCAGAGCGAGTGCCTGGGGTCTGGGGTCTGGGCTGGGGGCACATCTGGGGGGGCTGGGACCTGCTGTGGGCTCAGCCTGTGGAAATGCAAATCAGAGGAACCTCCTGACAGGGCTGGGGGGTGGGATGGGGTGGGATGGGGAGGGAAAACAACAGGGACTGTGCCAGAGCAGTGATGGTGGTTGGGGTGCTCAGCGGTGCCTCCAGCTCCTTCCCAGTGAAACAACCCTTTGCTGCCCGTGGGCACTGAGCAAAACCAGCTGAAGGCCCCTGTGGTTCTGCCCCAAGCCCCTGTCCTGCTTCTTTTTTTCCACAACACGTTGGCAGACGTTGGGTTTGCCAAGAAGTTGTGTCAGGGTGAGCCCAGGGGCAGGAGCTGCTCCTGCCCTGCTGTGGCACTGCTGGCTTGGGCAGAGCTGGGGTCCAACAGGCTGGGGAAGGAGAACTGGAGCTCCCACAGTTACTGGGGAGCTTAATCTGCAGTGCTGGAGTCCAGTCTTGTTATCTGCCCCAGTAACTTTAAAAGCAGGAGGTCAGGCTGGGCAATGAGGGCTGGTGAATCTTGGAGCAAAAGGAAATGATGCTCCATGCAAAGAGGAGGGAACCTCTGGGGGTTTCTTGCTCTGACAGGCTGGCAGCTGAGGCAGCTTGTGGTGCCTGGCTGTGGTCACAGGGTGGGCTGGGAAGGTGGTCACAGGGGGGGCTGGGAAGATGGTCACAGGGGGGCCAGGACCACGCTGCAGGGCACTCCCTGCAGAGCTCAGGGTTTGCTCTGCACTGCTCTCCAGCTGGGGTTTTAGAGGAGCACAGATCCATAGGGTGATCACTCCCCCTCCTCTGTCCCAGGGATCCCTGGGCCTGTCCCTCTGCTCCCCAGGGAAAGTGTCAACTA